CGGCGTGCGGAGCTCTGACCGGCGCCGAGGTGTGAGGGCGCGGGGCGGGGGCGGACGGACGGATGGATGGGGACACCTGAGGGGAAATGACACCTACTTGCGCGGGGTGGGGAAGCGGGGACAGGCTGACAGGGGAGATCCCCGAGGCAGCGGGGTGCTGGCAGCGCTGGCGGGGTCAGTGCCCCGGCGGCAGCTGTGGAGGTGGTAGCGCAGAAACCATGCGGGCGCAGGCATATGTTGGGGTAATGAAGAGTTCAGACCCCCGTTCTGCTCATAACCATCACAGGCAGCTCAGCATACGCAATGGCGGATGAGGGATGGATACACACAGGGTGTGAGGGTAGCCCTGAAGAAGTCACAAAAAATGGGTAAAAAAACCCTGTTCCTACAGCCACCCATTGACTTAAGGAAGTCTATCATAGCTATAAGCCACAGGTTTTAGTTTGTTGGTGGCCTGTTTGTTAAATACAGAAGCCTGAAAAGGTACAAGCTTTTTCAATAGGTTCAGCCCAGCAGTGCAGTTTCCTTAAAGAAACGAAGAAGCGATGTGGTGATGCTGATGGTAATAAATTGGTTTGAAGCACACCTCTTCCACCTGTCCAGTCAACACTGTCCAATGTGAAACGGAGTGAAGGCTTCACATTGGGAAGAGCAGAAAACTCTACCAGATGAGCTTAATGCAGTAAGGCTACTTATTAAATGATTCTGGTTTAGTGCCCTGCCTGCCTCTTTTACGTTGGAGCTTTCTGTTGTGTTAGTTTTTAGTTTTATCTTAAGAAATAAAAGTAACCTTAGTTGTTCTAAATGATGTGATGAAGAAGCATGTTTTATAATTATTGTATATTGTACCTCTAAACCATGCTGCGAGCAGTAGTTTACCCTCAACACAAAAATTTCACCATTTTAAGTATGTGAAACATGAAATGCCTTGTCCAGTATCATGCTAACAGTCTGAACCGTGTCTGGACTAGTGGCTAGGTGTAGTGATTTACATAGCCGTTTAAGTTCATGGTTAATGCTAATTGGTAGTAGCGGGGAAATGGAGGTAAGTGTAATTATCTGAAAACATCCATTGTTTCCCTTACTGAATTGCAGACCACACTCTGTACTTATGTTTTAGCTTGTGGTAAGGTCTTTTGTCTGCATTTAAAGAGACTGGTTAATAGGTACAAATAAGTGGTTTTAATTAGATTTCTTCACTGCATGACAGGCAATTACGATTGTGGTAGCATCTGCAGCTTCAGAAGCAATAGCATGATGTTTTTGTAGTAAAGCAGAGAGAGCTGCTTTTAGAAAGCAGGGGGAGGGGAGGAACCCCTTTTCCCAATTAATTCTGAATCAGTCCCTTAAATCTAAACCTGCACATTATATATACATGTGAGTAACTTCCTAGGAGTGCAGTGCCACTAGGCTCGGTACAGTTTGCATTACATTATACATATGTATATATGTATATATGTATATAAAGACTAAGCTCATTTTATCTGATTCTCTTTTAGTGAGGAGACATATACCTTCACACAAATCTTTGGCAATCTTAACCTAAACATTCTCGAATGAAGCCACAAAAAAGCTGCTTTAGAAAAGGCTGATAGGTAATTCTGAATCATAGTCTAGTCACAAGAAATGATTCTGGTGCATCTATATAAATCCGTGGAGGTGGTGTTACTGAGACTTCCATGAAATATTCGCAGCAAATAATTGACCTACTGAATGAACTCCTTACTTTCAATTAACGAAATGCCTGAGAACAAGCTCGTGATATCGCTGCATAAATGTCAGTTGGTTTTAAAATACAGCCCTTGATTTTCTGGTAATTTTTATTCTTTTTTCAATATATGTGTTCATGCAGTACTCAGAAAATACAAAAATATGCTTCCCCACATGACTTCTAGGATCTTAGGAGTTCATACTTGAAAGGTACATTGATCTATACTGTAAATCACAGTATCGTTATAAATAGTTTGCAGCTATGGCATTAAGTTACATAATTACATCTTTCACAAGTTTCCATTGGAGAAATGTGGTGTTTTGTGAAGATGTTCTTGTGCTCTTATTTAGGAAGGTGCGTTGGGGAAGACAACGTCAAAGAAATACATCTTGAAAACAGTGACAAAATAGTAGTCCCTTTGTAGTGACAGGGGCAATTGGTTACATGAAAGAACAAAAGGGTTCCTACCCCCCAGAGCTTAAGATCTATGTTCACAATTAAAAGTGAAGCGTACAAATGTTGCTCAAGAAGAAGGTGACAGGAAAATAAGCATTTTCTGCCATAGAAAAAATAGCCTGTCTTTGATGTCTGCTGTAAAATGTATGGTAAGGGCTTTCCTGGGCACTGCAGTAAAACTAAGTCATCTGCTTTTACTGGATTTTTGAAAGAAGATTTCATTACATATGTTTTCAGAGAACTTCCTGCCTGTGTGAGAGTACTACATTGTGTGTGGGAAGATGAAGCATTGGCTGGCAACAGGTACCATTCCACATCACATCGACACGGTAACAGTGCAGTTAGTCCTTAAAGTTAAATGATGCTGTGGAAAAGAAGGCTGGTGAGTGACACAAAGAAGCTAATGTGCCCAGAGTAGTGAATCTGTAAAATTTCACATAAGTGGGACAGTCTTCAATAAACATTATTTACTGTCCTACTGGTTTAAATATTTGCATGTAAGTGAACAAGAAGTGGTACTTCCACAAGGAAATTCTTTCTGCCAAAGGCTGTCAGTCAAAATGCAGGGGGATGCGTTGATTTAAATAATCCCTGGAGAGTGGCTAAGCATAGCATGAACTACTTCTGATGTTCTGCGATTAAGTTTTTATGGTCCCATAAGTGCTCATAGTTCTTAGGTATAAAAATAATCACAAAGGCATCTCTCAGCCCTACAGAGATTACTTAATCTGTCAGAGTGATTTAACAAACACTAGAGGTTTCCTGTGAACTTTGTTTATTTGACTGACAATTTAAGATATTCAGGTGCTTACAATATCAGTCTTCCCATATGACATT